GAATGTAGTTTAAGTGCTTTTGTGTGTTTGTTGTTGTTAAAGTCAGCTAAAAAAAAATAAACAAACAAAAGTACTTTTCACAGAGACACTGATACAAACACAGCAGATACTACTACTCTATTCCCTTTCTAGTAAGGGGGCATAACCTTTTTCATTTTATATTCATCCATGAAAACAGAAGCTGCTGTTCAGTCTGCAGGTGACCTATTCATCCTGTACCCTGTAGGTTTCCTCCTCCTTAGTGGACGTGGTTTTTACACTGCCTGAGGCCTTGGCAGCTCTCAAATGTTTGCTCCTTGTTGAACCTGCTGCATCTGTGTCACTGGTCTTCCTCTGAGGCCCTGCAGCAGACTTTGAGCTCTTCTGTTTCTGATTCTCCTGATCGCTGCACAAAAACAAATCAGAGGCATTGAACCAGCTGCAAAAATCGATTATAAACTGCCTTCAGGCTAATGTCTGGTTCAATAAAGGTCAAACCGGACGACTTGTTCAATATTATAGGTAAGAAAAGTTTGACCAACTTTAAATTGAATTTGTAGCTAATGTTTTAAAATCACCTTGCTTTTGATTAGGACAGTTGGGAGCTTACTTAAGTTAAATTACTGAATCTGAAGCACATGTCATCAGTGGCTGATGAAGTAAGATGAGGTTGTAGATCGTAGAAGCGCGGTCGTTAATCATGGCAGTGAGGTGACAGTTGTAATATTCTAACATAGAGGAGAAAAGTTTACTGCATCGCTCAGAGAGGAAAATGTATCACCCCCATTCAGCTGGGAGGTAAAAAGGATTTCTTTCATCATCACGGTTCCTGATGATATTAACTTTATGCATAATGCTCAAAATTGAAATGTGGATTGCCGCATAATGTGTTTCAATATTATGGATGCAGACTCATTATTATGTAATAAACACTTCTGTGTCAGCAACTTTGGTGAGTATATGAATGTGATTATAATAACTGAGAGGTACACTCCCTGATTTTGTTAGTATCTAATAAACCTTAAAACAGAGACAGTAAAAAAAACATGCACAGCAAGATCTTTAGAATTTTGAGTTCTGTGGGGGTGGCAGTTAAATATTATAACAAAATCAGGGAGAAGAAATGAGAACATGACAACCTGACAATTTAGTGCAGAGCTGTGCAGGCAGAGAATTACCTGTCTGTTCTCCTGTTTGTCTTCTCCTTGCTGGTGGTCCTCCTCGTTGTTATGCTGTTACGATGTTTGGGGATTCTGGTGCGCCTCCTGTTCTCCTTCCCGCTGTCACACTCACTCTCCGAAGTGCGGTCTATGTCCCTCTTGGCTTTTCGTGACGGCAAAACAGAATGAGTGAAGTCCAAGGATTTAAGACCTGCAGGTGCCTGGTTGGTAAACAATGCAGAAATGGGGATAAAATAAATGTCTGACAGATGACATGTTTAGATAAATACATAGGGAATATTTGATAGCCACAGTAGCACCATAAACTGGAGTACAAAGAAGCAAAGTACAAGGACTACACATTAAGAAGTTCCAATGCACATGATTAAGA